TAACAACTGTTCAGAGCTATGCCAGCGCTGAAAAAAATGACTTACGAACACACCACCATTGCAGCGTCTTCACAGTCATAAAATCAGAATTTGGGCACTTTGCAATCAATATGCATTTATGATAGTTGCAGCATCACAGAGTCAGATGAACATTATTTATGACCTTCCCGGCGGGTTTCTGACAAATCAGTGGGGGAAGCTGGAGTTATTTAACAACCACGTCCTGACTATGGCAAAAAAGTGATAAAATCAAACTAAGCCATCACTTAGTGATGGAGGTTCCAGTCCCAATTATTTATATATTTTGAAAAAGAGGATTATTCTGTAGAATTATAAAGAACTCACATTTATTCAAGAAAATAAGTTGAAGGATAACATCAAGACCAGCTTTAATGAGTCAGCTGGTCAAAGGATTAGACTAACTCATTATTATTGTCACATGCTCAGATACTGGAAAAATACAATAAAGGAAAAGTGCTTTCTTTCAAGACACATCTAGCTATATTTGATAGACTCAGGAACCAAAAGAACGTCTACGTTTCTTTGAGAAAGCTGTACAGATAGCCTTATGTAATTTGCTCTCATTTGGTAATAATTGTTATTTGTTAAAGCTCTGAAGTGGCTTGAATATGTATGACTGTTCAAAGACATTGTTACTCTGGGGATGGGGTCTGGGGTGGAATTGAAGCATAGTACCTAGCCATACTATTCTGACACAAAAATAAATTTTACTGATAGATGATAATATCATGCTAACAAATTTAAAATAGCCTTTCTGTGCAAAAAATATGTGCAATTCTGAAAATCTGTGTGTGGGAAGTTGAGAACATCACATATAATATATATGATGATGTGTGGTTTCCTCAGAAGAGGATCAGCTGTTGCTCTTTCATAATTGGAAAGTGTTCTATGGCTTTTCTTAAAACACAGTTTTTGTCCTAGTCACTTGCCTATTTTCCTGAAGTTAAGGCCAATTTTAATATGTATTTAGAACAAGTTTTATTATAACTAATATGGGTGTAAGCTCCCTGAACCATTGCCCTAGCATAAGGCTCTTATACTGATTACTTTGAAATAGCAAGGTATAACTTATGGAAATGAGGTTCTATTGCTTGCACACTTTTGTCCCTTTCTTAATGGCCATAAGGAATAGATCAGAATAGTTTATGTACAGGTAGAAAAAAGATGTCTGAAACCCAGGTAAACTTTTTAACAAGAGAATTTGCATAAATGAGAAAAGCAATGCTGCTTGCTGTCTTACCAACTGAGTATATTGTATACTATTTGTGTTCTTGGTAGTTCTGTTTTTGTAGAAGTGGCTGACACCCTTAAGAATGCTGAGACCACACTGATTGAAAATGATGGGATTTGAAACTCAGCATACCTAGAGGGACCCTAGATTGGGGAAATTTATAATAGATTCCTTCCCAGCCTCTCATTCATGTTGCCTGAAGTCTACTGAATTCAGAAACCAAGCTCTTTGTTCCTGCTTGATTTTAATGAGTACTACCATTTTTTCAAAACTATGTAATGTTCAGCATCTTTCATGTAGTTAGTAAGCAAAATAAGCCATGGGACATTTTTTAAATATTTGCATACCTACCTTTTGGGTTCTCAAAGCGAAGAAAGCCTTAATTGCAAAACTATCGGCAAACCATTTTGGGGGAAATCAACCAGTCCTTAAAGTTTCAGTAGCATGCAACATATTATTAAAATGTTTGGATTAATTTAGAATCTAAATTTATCTAAATTTAAAATAATAATTGAAACCGTGCTTCCAGAGAGATTAACACATGATCTGGTGAGTAGTATTTCTCTTGTAGCCTCAAGAAAAAACTTTAACTGATCTGGCAAATTATATAATCCTAATTTTTTTTACTCTACAGGTAGCCCTTGTCTTACAACCATTTGTTCATCAACCATTTGAAGTTACAGTAGTGTTAAACAACCATAACTGGTTGTGAAGGGCGAGGTTGGGCCTGCCTTGTCAGCTGGAGCAGCAGAGTGTAGGGTGGCAGGGGGCTCAGAGTTCAGAATGTCAAGGGTGAATGTATCAGGGACTGAACTGGGATTCCCAAGTGACCCATGTTGCTGGACCGAGCTGAGGCTGAGCTTCATACTGCAATGCAGTGCAAATTCCTTTGCACCCAAAACCCAGCCCCAGCCTGGCCCAGCAGCACAGGGTAAAAAGTAGTTGTTGGCGTGTTGCAGCTCTGGAGTGGCAAAAATTCCTTTTGTGCAGCTGGGCTGGGCTTCATGCTCTGCTGTGCTGTGGCTTGGACTTCTTGGAACCACGGTGCACCAAGAATCCCCTGAGCTGCAGCTTATTTTTCTCCCAGCTCCCTGCACTCACATGCATGCATACACACCCCACCCCCTCTTTTCCTGGTTTCCCTGAACTTGCACTGCACTGCAACAACCCCCCTTCCCTATCTGCACCAGGCCTCCCAGGACCTCCCCCATGGCACCTCCTTACTCTGGGACTTGCTTCACTTTCCACTTAATGAACCATGTGGCTGGAGTAATGATGGCAACCGAGATGCAGTCACTTAATGTTATGTTTTACAACTGCATTGATTAGCAACACAAATTCTGGTCCCAATTACGGTTGTAAGTCGCCGACTAGTTTTATTAAGTTTTAGAACATCTTTTTAGCAGTCTTTCATCATTTCACTAAGAAGGTATTCTGATTCAGTCTAGTCTTAGTTAATGGAATCTTTAAGGCATAGATCTAATAGTACTAAATATACAAATATTTGGGGGGGGCCAAAAGCCCTACTAAGCAGGTATATACAAAAGTATGAAGGCTATTGCTTAAAAGCATTGTAAGCCGCCCTGAGTCTCCGGAGAAGGGCGGCATATAAATCAAACTAATAAAATAAAATAAAATAAAATTAAATAAATAAATAAATAAATAAATAAATAAATAAATAAATAAATAAATGCAGATATTATAATAAAGATTTTAATTTGGTACATACACTTCTAAGCAAGCTGTCTAGAGACATTTTTCTTGGTATGGTATTAATGTGAGTTGACTTCCCCATTCCACTGTGAAATTGGGTGGCACTTTTGTAACAATTTTGACATAGCTTGCTTTTGCAACAGTAGTCATCCTCTCAATCCTAAATTGTTGACTTTACCTTACTTTACTTTAAGGGCACACCACTTTGAGGGTATGTAGCAGTAAGACTGTAAAGCTCTGTCTTTAACCCACTGTTCTAATGGTTAAATGGTTAAGATCTGATTTTAAAACATTGGGGGGGGGTGTCTGATTCTTCATGGACATAGAAAGTCATATGCAATACAATTTACAGGTGGCTGAAATGTTCCTCTTTGAACCACCAGTAAAATAGATTGTAATAATTCAAATTTGGACTGACTTTTGAGTTATAAAACTTTCGGAGGAAAAGTGGAGTGTAAATCTGTGACCGCACATGTGAATCCAATGGTATGCATTTATGTCAAAAGACTGCCTTCCTCTTGTCAGGCTTTCATTGTGCACAGATTTTAGTTTCAGAGCAAAAGAGTAAAAATGCTTATTCAAACTTAATGTTGTGATTTAAAGAACTACTTCTAAATACATGAGAGCAGAAAAATGCATACTGAATTAATGCTTGTTTATTATATGTTCTATCCTGCACAGTCGAGTTAATGCTGGTAGACAGTAAATACAAAAGAAAAACTATGTTGTAGTATTTGAGAAGAAGTAAAAACTGTTTTTGCTTTTAAATTGGCATATTTTCCGGGGTTTTTTTAAACTTATTCATTGAAATACAGGCGGTTCTCCACTTACAACCACAGTTGAGATCAGAATTTTGGTGGCTAAGCAGTCACAAAGCAAGGCATTGTGTGATCATATCACTTTTTTTTTTTTTTTGGCATCACAAGGCCAGCCAGCCTAGTTCAGGAGCTCTTTGCAAAGAGGCAATGCAGGAAGTGGTTTCACCCAATGGGAAAGTGCCAGGATTGGCCAGCTTCTCTTACACGTGGCTCCCTGAGCCAACCCGCAGGTATTTCCCATTGGGTATAACCACTTCCTGTCTTTCCCATCGACTGACACTCTTATTTTCACTGCACTACTGGGCAGTAATGGTAATTGTTAGCTATGGAGACCATGAGGAAAAAGAACAAATGAACAAGAGGCACCTGAGGTGAAAGCAGAGCAGGTACATTATGGAAGTGGCATGGCCAGCCAATGAAAAGGAGAGGAGGAAGAACACAGTGAAGGTCAGCTGGATGCAGCAGAGTCTGTGGAGCGTGTGGCAGGGGGCTTTGCACTGTGGCACTGGACTGGCTGGCTGTGGTCCATAGCTTGAGGCTGGGACTGGGACTGAAGTAGAGATGGTCATAAGTATAGGTGGGCTACCAAATGCCCAAATTCTGACACAGGACCACAGGGGCGCTGCAACAGCCTGTATGTTTAGATGCACTACATTCCTAGGCCATATGAGGCTGATTTTACACTGAGAAAATGGGGGGAAAAAACCAAAAGCAGGTTTCCACCCCTCTTTTTTTTTTGCACCACAAGGCCAGCCAGCCTAGTTCAGGGGCTCTTTGCAAAGAGGCAATGCAGGAAGTGGTTTCACCCAATGGGAAAGTGCCAGGATTGGCCAGCTTCTCTTACATGTGGCTCCCTGAGCCAACCCGCAGGTATTTCCCATTGGGCATAACCACTTCCTATCTTTCCCATCGATTGACACTCTTATTTGTACATCCTTTCACTCAGCACCATCATAACTTTGAAAGTTGCTGAATGAATAGACTCCCAGTGTACTAATTCAAACCATCCCCTGCCACTTGAAGCAAATTAAGAAGGGTTGTCATTTCAGCTTTATATAGCTATATAGTGTGATCTCTGTATCTAGCAAGTGATAACAAAATACTTTAGGAATCTCTGCTGAAATTTGTATTGGTCATATTAGCTTGTGGATTTTGTTCGTGTAATACCAGATTCTAAGATGTGACATTCTCCATCATATTTCTTTCTTTTTGTTTAGGAAATGACAAAAGTGTGCCAAGATTCTTGATTAGAGAAGTGGAATTTGAGAAAAAGGATCTAACTAGGCTCATGTTTTCGCCTGATCAAGAAAATCATCCATCAAAAGCACCAGTGAAGTATGGTGAACTGATTGTGTTGGGGTAAGTATCTGGCACTGACATCGGAACTTCTAAAAGAGCAGTTTTAGTTAATCCTGCAAACCAAAGTGTTTTTTTCTAGTTTTCCTTGTTGCCTTGCAATGTGATTCTCTGAAACATGGCAGTTCCTTGCAGTGCAGCTTGTTTTAGCATCCTGATTTCAGACTGACATTAGCATCAGTCTGAAATGTTCCAACATTAGCATCAATGGCATCAAGGTTAGATCATATCCACCTAGTCTTTTGAGTTGGATGTGATGCAGCCAAACATTTCTAAGCTTCATCAAATTTCACTAAGAAAAATTTGAGTGCAGGTTTTTTTCTCCCATGAAATCCTTAAGGCTTAACTTTAGAATGGCATTCATAGCATTTGTATATTAGTATTACAATAGATTGTAGCTAAACTACTTGTCAGCACAGGAGATGGTTTATTCTTAAAATAAAGTTAAAATAAAACAGTGGCTTAATTTTCTCCATGCTACAAATTATACCGGATATATAATGAATGAAAACTAATTGAAAATGGTATGGCATTCCTATTACATTAGGCAAATATCTGATTTCTGCATTCATATACCTGAACCTGTTTGTGATAAGTCTTAGGAATGCATAAAACTTTATATTTAATAGATTTAACAAAATACTCACGTAAAGTATAAAAGTTTTGATTGGTCCAGGGTTTTTTACAGTAACATCACTGGATGTGAACCATCAAAAACAATCTATTTCTGACAAAGTTTTTAGCAAATATTTTATAATTTGGTTGCTAAATAGGAAAAAATATATAGTTGCAATCCTGCAATACAAAGTGCTGTATCATTTTCCTACTTGGCTCTTAAATGCATCTGAAGTAACCTCTGACATTCTGTAGCTTGTTGTTTGCCTGATTTTTTTCTTTAGAGGTACGTGTTCTTACAATCTTTGTGTTCTTTTATGGGCATTAAAAAGCATCATGTGTACTGCAATAATATATTAAATATTTAGAAAGTTATTTCTAAAATATTTAGTTCTGCAACATTATGGAAATGTACAAATTAATTCAGAGCCTTTATCACCTAATAATCCTCCCATCTCTTCAATTCTTCCTGCATTGTTTTCCACAGATATAATGGCTCCCTGCCAAATGGAGATAGAGGAAGAAGAAAAAGTAGGTTTGCTTTATTTAAAAGACCTAAAGCAAATGGGGTGAAACCTAGTACAGTGCATATTGCCTGTACACCTCAGGCAGCCAAGGTAAGCTTGATTAATGAGGTAGCAGACTTATATTTCTTGATCTACCACACTAAATTAACAGCAATTTCTATCAATGAAATTGTGTGTGTGTGAAATTATATGTGTTTTTTTAAGATGGCATCAGGCAGGCATTATGTTGAAGCTGACAGTAGATGGTTGTTTGGTCAGATGATGATGGATAAATTGATATATACTTGGTAAGTGCAGTGAGTTAATAGAAATTCATGTTTAATTGCTTATTCTGCCTCATATTATAGAACAAGCAGAGTTTACTCTTAGGAAAAGAGTACTCTTTGGAAAATTGTAGAGACCAGAACTAGGTCATCTAGTGCCTCACCGTCATCTTAACCAGAGGTGGGTTTCAACAGGTTCTGACCAGTTCTGGAGAACCGGTAGCAGAAATTTTGAGTAGTTTGGAGAACCAGTAGTAAAAATTCTGACTGGTCCCACCCCCATTTATTTTCTGCCTCCCAATTCCCAGTTTATTGGGAGGAAATGGGGATTTTGCAGTAACCTTCCCCTGGAGTGGAATGGGAATGGAGATTTTACATTATCCTTCCCCTGGAGTGGGGTGGGAATGGAGATTTTACAGTATCCTTCCCCTGCCATGCCCACCAAGCCATGCCACACCCACCAAGCCACACCCATAGAACTGGTAGTAAAATTTTTTTGAAACCCACCACTGATCTTAACCCAGTGTTTCTCTACCTTAGCAACTTTAAGATGTCTCCCAGAAATCCACACCTCTTAAAGTTGCTAAGGTTAAGAAATACTGTCTTAAACAGTTCTCTCAGTCCTTTCTGATGCTGGGGTTGATAGGCAAACCGTGAACTTCTGGAATGCTGATAGCAAATAAGCCCATTTTTAACTGTTGAGCGAGTATATATTGCATTTGAATTTCACTGTACCTTTCTGTTTATTGTGATTAAATTATGCCTAATTCTCTTTGCTTCCTTTTCTTCATGAGGAACAATTTAACTTTTGTTGAGTGTGGTTTATCATACTGTTCAACCTCAAAAGCAGTGGTTAAACAGGTTAAGCCATGGTTAAGCCATGGTTTATTAAGATAGCTTCTTGTAATAAAGCATACATTAATGAGCCATAGTAGTGCAGTGGTTAGAGTACTCAGTGATGGGATTCAAATAATTTAACAACAGGTTCTATGCCCTAATGACTGGCTGGGTAGGCGTGGCTGGGTGGTCATGTGACTGGGTGGGCATGGCCAACTCGCCATCATTCATATCAAGGGGCACCTCGTCCAGCCCCTCCCCTCCCAGCCCCTCCTTGTCACACCTGGCCTCAACATATCTATAATTCTGTAAGAATATTGTTCACCTTTTTTCGACTTTATTACCTGCATCTGCATACTATAGATGTACTTTCATGAAAGGAGGAAATGGCTCACATGCTTTGCCCAAGAGTGTGATAGGCAGGTCACAAAACAGGCTTTTGAGGGGCTGCCATAAAGAAATGGGGGAGATGTATTTTCCAAAGCAGCAGAAGGCAAAACAAGAAACAATGGATGGAAACTGAACAAAGAAAGAAGCAACCTAAAATTAAGGAGAAACTTCCTGACAAGTGAGAACAATTAATCAGTGGAACTGCTTGTCTCCAGAAGTTCTGGGTGCTCGATCACTCAAGGTTTTTAAGACTAGACAGCCATTTCTCTGAAATGGTATAGGGACCCCCCAGGTCCCTTCTAAGTGTTATTCTGACACCTTTCCCAGGCCCTCCTCAGATTTTGGCATCCTTAGTTTTCCTGCCTGAGCAGGGCGTTGGACTAGAAGACCTCCAAAGTCCCTTTCAACTCTGTTATTCTGTTACGCCTGAGCTAAATAGCTAAGACCCTCATTGGGACCCCATCTCTTTTGCTCCCTCTGGACTAATGAGTTAAAGAGCTGCCTTTAGACATTCATTTTTAGAAACCTGCAGCTGAAATATTCTTCATGTCTCCTTACCCTGAAGACCCAATTTCATTTGGAATTTAATCTCAAACTGATTGCCCTTTTAGCATTTCTCTTGACACTTCTCCAAAACCCCTAAGAATCCACATCTCTCTCTTACACTCACACTCACAGAGGATGGATCGGATATCTTTCTACCACCCTCCCTCCCTGCTTTCGGCTTAGAAACTCTTCCAGTACTGTTCCTCATTTGGCAATGCTTAAGGAGAATTAGGGGCTAGAGACAGTTGATATTCTTATCTCTGCTACAGGTGAGGCTGCCAGAAAGACTTTTTGGCAGACATGCAACGCCTTCTCAGCCTCTCTGGCACTAATGAGAGATGCAGCTCTCCTGCCCAGGGGCTGCAAAGCCTCTCATTTTGTACACACCATCCACTGCCAGAGGATATGCACTTATGGGTGGCGTGGGCATGGAAGTTCTGCCACCAGCCTGGCAGCCCAGCCCAAGCCACAGGGGTTTTTTAAAAAAATTATTTTCCCTACGGGAAATAGGAAGCGCATCTCTGCCTGCGTAACAAGGGGGAGACTCTCTGCCCCACAAAAACCAGTGGGTTGAAAGTGCCCATTGCAAATGTGGCATGTCATTTGGGTGGGAAATACCTGGAAAACAATAAAGCCCACCCACTCGCCTCCCACTGGCTGGCTGGCTAATGGGGTGAGAGGAGAGGCGGAGAAGCCAGAGGGGAGCCAATCGAAGCCCTCCGAAAGAAGGGGGCTGAGGGAAAGTGCGTGTGCTATGGCATGCTCCAGATGCCCCTCACTCACCCCTTTGCCTGGCTTCCCTCCACCCATGGTTTCCTCGGTGCTCGCTCATACTCTCCCGCCCCCAGTCTAGCTTGATGCAGGCAGAGCCAAATTGCCCTTTGCAAGTCTACTGTCGGAGATGCTGAGCACCGGTGAGGGCTGGCTTTTTGCCTAGGTTTTTTCGGCTATCGGGGGGAAAACAGCTTCCTCCCCAGGCTTCCTCCTGCTGAAGGACTGCCTTGGGGGCAAATGGCAAAGCTTGGCCTTCTTTTGGGCCCAGCTCTTGGCTGCTGCCCACTCACCCTCCCCTCCACCTCAGGTCCCGCATCCAACCTGCGACAGGGTAGCGGGAGAGTAACTCTTGGGGGAGAGTGCACGCTGGGGCACTGTGTGCCCAGACCAGATGTTTTCTCTTGTGCCTCCCTCCCGAAGCTGGGCCCGAAACACGTCCGAGCCTTGTCATGTTTCCCCCCCCCCCCTGCAGCCCTTTGGCTGAGCGTGGCGGGACCCCTCCCCCAGTGTCGGCCTTACCTTCTCAGGCCAGGTGAAGAGTGGCCACATGAGAGGCAGCTGGGTGAGGAGCGGAGATCGGCGAAGGAAGGCTCACCAGGCAGAAATCAGCTGGGCTGCGTGGTTGAGGCTAATGAGGGAATCAGAGAGCAGCAAGAGTTGTGCCACAGGTGTGACTCTAGGCATCGCCAAAGGCAGGCAAGGCGCAATAAGGAGTGAGTGGGAGGGGAGGGGAAGAGAGGGGCCAGCCAGTGGTGCTCTTTGCCGGTTCTCTGAACTGTGCAAAAATTTAACAACCGGTTTGCCGAAACCAATCCAAACCAGCTGAATCCCACTTCTGGCAGTAGTGCAAACTACTTCTGCTGACTGCTGGCTGCCTGCAATTTGTCAGTTCAAATCTCACCAGGCTCAAGGTCGACTCAGTCTTCCATCCTTCTGAACTGGGTAAAATGAGCCAAATTGTTGGGGGCAATATTCTG